TCACTTTCATTTATAGATCTTCCAGAATTAGAATCGATATTTTCCTTTGGTTTTTCATTATGGTCACCTCGTACTGTTTATATGAACAGTATAGTTTATTTATTCTAAATATTATAGATATTCCAAATTGTCGATATGTTACACTAGATAAAGCATTAAAATATGTTTCCTATCCTACAATTGCTACTTCAAGTAATATAAATGTTAATAATGTCAATTATAGATGTCAATTATAAATTGCGATCTATTGTTGAAGATCGATCAATTCCATCTGGATTATCTACATGTTCATATTTGGCATCATTGACTATGACAACTACAACATCAATATATATTCCGAGTAACAAATGTAATCACCAATCATTAACATCATTTGATTTAAGTGCGTTTAAATTAATCAATTCAATAGATATTTATGATAATAACTTTGGTAATACAAAAACATTTATTTTGGATGGACTCATTAAACTACAGCATTTAACGATCAGAATTAATTCATTTACTCAAGCGAAGTATGACTGGGGATATGATACATCAAAATCATTCCATGTATTGAATTGTGTGAATTTGGAATCGATATCAATTGGTGAGTATTGCTTTAGTGATTATAGTGGTGAATTTGAGTTATCGAATTTGCCTGAACTTCAATCAATTACAATTGGAACTGGTTCTAGTTGGTGCCGAAATTTCTATTGTAGCTCATTTGATATTCGAGGTATTGAATAAACATATTATATGGTAAATTTAGATTTGCCAAATCTTCGATCCATTAAACTTGGATGGTATGCTTTTGCCGATTCATTAGCAACACATATAGAAAGTAAATATGTTATTATTAAAGATAACTATTATAGACCTTCCTTCATTGCAATCTATTCAACTTGGTGGATATGCATTAGCTGGAGATGATCATCAGTCATGTTCATTGATAATGAAAAGTAATATAAAATAGGGTATTTATATAATGACTATAGATCTTCCCAGCTTAACAACTTTCACTTCTGAAGGATCCAGTTTTAAATTTCCTCGTTCAGTTACTTTAAGAAGTATAATAAGCAATACTAGTGTTTATAATAATAGATATTCCAAATCTCCAAAACGTTGATTTGTCTTGGTCATTCCGTCGAGTTCAATCTAAATCAATTTATAGTATTACTTAAGTTTTTGCCTAAGTGATAAGATGTTTCCTCTATTCTCGCAGACCTTGTCGTTATTTAGGAGTAGGTCTGAATATTAAAATATCTGGTTCTCTGCTGTTATAAGGATTAATTCATATATGAGGCAAGTTTTTGTTTAAAATCATTTTCCAGTTTCTCATTTTGCAATTATGTTACATAATAACATGAGGAAATAGTTCAGATTACATGCTTATATTCTCTATATCATTAAGAACGTATGCATATATATATATAATTATGCTTCTTTCAGCCAATTACTTTTAGATTTTTATTGCATATTCTTGAATCATTGGCTCTTGAATTTGTTTATATAGTTTTTCGATTGATTTTGATATATCACAAGATAATTAGTAATATGTGGAACTTATAGTGCACTTGATATGCTTATTCGTCATTAGAATCAATTTGATATTCATATAGATACAGTCTGTAATGTCACTTCTGTTTGTAATATTTAACACATATATTCATTGAATTAAGGCACAATATTCTATACTGTACATTTAGTAATATCATTTTTATAAAACACATTTAATCATCTGGCTGATCCATCTAATATTTCTTAAGTACGTAGTCATTTTTAATTATGAGATTACTATATTAGTAATAATTTTTATTATTTAAAATGAGCATTTATTCAATTATACTTTTATCCTCCATTTAGAATAATTATGTGATATTAAGGTTTGTTCTTTTTTCAAATAATCCACCTTATTGCATTATATTAACCTTTTACTCTGCAAATAATATTTATATGATTTGATTTTTGCCATTTTGTTTTTCGGTCAATTATGGGTATATCTCATATTTCACGATTATTGTAATTAAAGTATTTTACAAATTCTGACTGACACACTCATCAAACTACAAATACGGGGTCTGTAATCCAATGAATGTTATATTCCATATAAGAGATATTGTTTTCTGATAAAGTTAGTCAGAATTGAGCAAATTAATAAAAATGTGCATTGATACTTTTGCTGATGATAATATATATGTATACATTACTCGATTCTATGTGAATATCATGTTTTCTATAATATAATATAACATTCATTTGGATACTTTGCTTGAATGAACAATAACACAAAAATAGATATGTCATATCGCCATATAGAAATGTAATATAAATATACCTGAATACCATGCTTGACATAGTTATTCTGTTCTTTTGTTGTAGATATAATCAACTATGTAGATCATTACTCATAATATTAATAATAATATTAAATAAACCGGAGTATTATTTTCGAAAATGGTAGTAACGCTCATGTCAAGGAGTTAGTATATTTTTTCTATGAATATATCGCATATAATCTTATGTTAAACAATTATCGAAAACAGAATTTGTTGTATATGCCCAGTTATTAATAATGAATCGGATTGAATTATATGCAATAATCAGATGTGAAAATATATAGGAAATACTTGAAGCTCTTTGTCATATTTTTATTTCATTATTTATACCCATATTGAAATAAACCAAATTATATATCTTTATGCAAGGGGTTGTTACTAAAGCAGAGTTCAAATGCAAAACAATCATTTAAACCTGAATAATCATTAGAAAATACTATTAGTTCTGTAATGTAAACTATATTGTGTATTTCTTTACGAATTACTTCTTTAGATCATATCAACACTTGCATAGGAGGGAACATATGTTACTAATGTATGATATACAAAATGGTGCTTGATTGACGTAAAATAGTTTCATTCTCACTATACACAATCTGACAATTTCTTTTGTTCTAATCAATTTACGACTGATATATTATCAATTTCTTAAATACCAAATTAGAATTTAATATGGATTTATCCCAGTATTTCATTTGTATAGACTTTGGGACCTAATACAAGTGCTGGTAATATTAACAACTCATTCTTGTTTATTTGTTATTGGGCATTATCTACAAATGAAAGGAATTGCTTGATATCCGTTTTGTATTCTATTATAGATACCGTCCATCCTTCTTTTTATCATTATTAATCACTTGTTTCTGTCAAATAATATCAGTAATTTCAACAGAATCGTGAATACAGCTACTTAATCTACTACCATTTCGAGTTATATATTCACATAACAATTAATAAAATAGTTCTGAAAACAATTTAAGGTTATTAATAATGACTCCTTTTACATAATAACTTATTATTGAA